AGAGGGGAAAGCAGTGACAGAGGAAGAGGGAGAAGCAGTGACAGAGAAAGAGGGAGAAGCAGTGACAGACGGAGAGGAATAGGAAGAAGCAGAAACCGAGGAAGAGGGAGAAGCAGCGGTAGAGGAAGAGAAAATGGTCATGGCAGAGAAAGATCTTCATCTGGCTCTAGTGGTGTTTCCACTAGCACCGATGATCGGTGGTACACCCAAGAAGAGCGTGATGTTTCTCCACCAGTAATAAAATTCAGACCAGCTCGAACACCTGGACCTCAAATTATTGAAACAGAATCCTACAGTCCTCTGCAGTTGTTTCAACTTTTTTTTTCATCCTCGGTTTGTCAGACCATCATCCGGAATTCTAACAGCTATGCTGCTGAGCACCTGGAGACAGCAAGAAGGCCAAGGCAGGAAATCTCCCTGAAGGACTTTTTCTCATTCCTCTCAGTAGTAATGTATATGGGTTTGGTGAAGCTGCCATCAGTTTCAGATTACTGGAATGGGTCCAGACTGTATGGCATTAGGTTTCCTGCATCAGTGATGTCCTGCAGGAAATTTCAGGCCGTGTCCTCAGCCCTCCACCTCAGCGATCCTAAGGTAGATGCTGAGAATGCAAAAAATAAAGGAACCCCTGCGTTTGACCGTCTGTGCAAAGTCAAACCTGTATATGAGCAGATTCGGGAAGGATGTAAAAGTTATTATCACCCACATCAGAAAATTGCCATTGATGAAAGAATGGTGGCTTCAAAGGCAAGGATTTGTCTGAAGCAATACATGAAAGCGAAACCAACAAAGTGGGGGTACAAGCTTTTTGTCCTGGCAGACTCCCTAAATGCATATACATGGGATTTTTTCATATATGAAGGGAAATCCCCAGTAGCTCAGAGCCAGCAAAGCAAAGGTCTGAGCTACGAATCGGTCATGGCTCTGGTGGATGAAAAGGTCTTGGGGTCAGGCTACAAATTATATGTGGACAACTTCTACACCAGCCCGATGCTCTTCAGGGACCTCCTCCAGATAAACATCTCTGCTTGTGGGACCATCAGGAACAACAGGGTGGGCTTCCCACAAACCACCCTAAACAAGCTGCCCAAAAATGCACCCCGGGGAAGCATAAGGTGGAAAAGGGACAACCAGCTTCTCTTTGTCCAATGGAAGGACACAAGAGAGGTATTCATGTGTTCCTCGTTCCATTCGGCAAATGGAGATCAGACTGTCCAGAGGAGAGTGAAGACAGGAGATGGAGAATGGACCATTATGACTGTTCCTATTCCTACAGTAGTGTCAGACTACAACAAGTAAGCAGAATTTTTTCAGTGGATGATGCAAAAAAAAAATTCAGATATGTTTATATTTTACGTATTGACTTTTGTTTATGTATGCTTTTTTTACACAGGCACATGGGAGGAGTGGATATGTCCGATGCCCTCATCGGTTACTACTCCGTGCTTCGAAAGACCAGAAAGTGGTACCGCTCCCTTTTCTTTCACTTTGTGGACATTGCGGTGGTTAATGCTTTCATTATCCACCAGCAGCTGGCTGCAATGCAAAGTAAGAGGGCAAAAAATCAGAGGGAATTCCGGGAAGCCCTTGTACAAGAGCTTGCAGATTGGGTGCCGCCTCCTGCTGCTCCTGCTGCTCCTGCTGCTCCTGGTGCTCCTGCTTCTCACCATCCAGCAGGACACACTCCAAAGCACATACAACCTAACAGTAAAGTTAGAAGAAGATGCAGAATGTGCCACCAGAAAACACCTGTAATCTGCAGTGTGTGTGACTTGCCTCTCTGCTTCGTTCCAAAGCGAGATTGCTTCAGTCGCTGGCATGATGGTGAAAATTTGTAATCCTTAGCTCTGAATAGTTGTGAATAGTTGTAAATAGTTGCAAATAGTTGTAAATAGTTGCATATAGTTGTATGAACAGTTTGTCATTTGGATTTATATAACCACTGTAGATAATACTTTTTTGGTTTTGTTTTATTCCTATGTTCAAAAACAATTTATACACTATTTTTTTTTAAAGTATATTCTGAGAATGTTTTGAATAAAAAAAAAATAAGAATCAAATTTTGTGTGTTGTGGTGTTGTGAGATCAAGTAGTAAAGAAGTGTCATCAATGGAGCATGGGAATCCCCAATGGTGGAAAAAATTACACCTAGTGTCCTTTGTTGTTACAGCAGCTAAAAGTCTCACAGAATCTACAAGGTTTGTGATATCAATTCCAAATTTGGAACACAACTTGTATATATTTTTTGCTTTAAATTCCTAGCATTTTTAGGGTAAAACCTCTTTTGGATTATATATTTTTTCATAAAATAAAAATGTGTTTATTATAGACCTTTTTTATTATAATAAACTTAAATTGCTATAATTTTTTTTTTATTAATTTTTTTCAACTGCAGACACTTGTACCATAAACCTCCAAGTGTTCCCTTAAAAACAAGACCAGAATCAACCTTCTATTAAAAAGCATTCCAGAATTACACCCATTTAAATTTGGACATCCCCTTTTTAAGTGTGAGCTCAAAAAGGGGGGTGACAGTTAAGGGGTTAACATGATACTACATTCTGATAAAAAGTTTCCTGTTGTTGACAACATATGCAACCCATGTCTTAAATGTATAATCTGATAAGGATTTTCTGCCTGAACTTTTGTTTTTAATACGTTTTAAGGTATGTTAATTCTGTTCAGTAAATTTACTGTCCTTATTTAGGCTATTGTTTTTAAATGTTATCAACATTTAAATTTAACATTTAAATGTTATCAGAAATGTATTTTTCATTCTCAATATTTTAAAAATGTATTATTTCAGTAGTTCATGCACTATAATACGGTTCTCAATTTCCATCTACATTTTCTGTAAGAATTTCAGTAATTCATAAAAGATCTAATGCAGCACCGGAGAAGTAAATAAGAAGTAAATAATTATATTTCGGTCATTTTTTATTTATTTATGTCATGTTATTACTTATTCACTTAGTCATAGACATTACAGCTCACTTGAATTTGTTCTGAATCAGTAGATATGACATTGCGGTGCCCTGAAGCTGGTCTGATAAATAGTTACCAGAAGCTCAATGTCTCCACCCACCCTTATATGTATACAGTGTGTTCTCATGAGAGCTCACTGATCGTCTTCTTCATCATGACCATCATCATCATCTCTCTGCTCCTGCTGGCCTCTCTGCTGCCACACCTGACCTTCACTGGTGAGATTGACTGAACTGAACTGCATATTGATTCATAGTTAATAATGCAACTAACCTCTCTCTCTCAGCTCATGTGAATGTGGGTATAGTGAACGGCACAGAAGCGAAACCCCACTCCAGACCTTACATGGTTTCTCTTCAGACAAAGGAGCATATCTGTGGTGGATTCCTCATTTCTAATCAGTTTGTCTTGACTGCTGCACATTGCCGAATCAAGTAAAGTGTATTGTTTGGAAATGTTTATCATGACATTTGACATAGGCTATACTCTAAAAAGAAGAGGCTGATTATATACTAATCAAATCTATTTGATATTAACAGACCGGAGAATTTGACAGTTGTGGTTGGAGCACATGACCTAAAAAATATGACTGAGGGTTCAGTCCGCATCGGAGTAAAGTCCTACCACCAGCATCCAGACTTTACCGTGGAACCTGTTATGAATGACATTATGCTTTTAAGGGTAACAATCTGTAGCTACTCATTTCAGTTCAAAATGATATAAAATAATGGTCCGTCATTAATAAGTAACTAAGCAGGAAGTAATGCAGTAGCCTACATTAACACTTCATCTATAGGCTACTATTTACAGTATAGAAACAAGCTTATCAGTAAGTATTATCAAATTTAGGAGATAGTTCCTTATTAGGTAATCAATAATTACGTAATGAGATTAGCCTCATTAATAACTATTAACTAACTGACAAATTATAAAGAACATTATCGTGTCTGCGACGTAATTAGTCATCATTTTTACTCTGAATAGTCATAAAATGCATCACAAATTACTCATGTGTTACCTAGTCACTATGCAGGAACTAGTGATCTGGACTATTATTTTAAAGTGAAAAAGATGTTTTAAACGGATCAATAGGCCATATTTGAACACAGCTGCAAATTATTTTTTACCTGTTCAGTATTTTAAAACTTCCGCTAAGGAAAAAAATAGCCCACTACAACGTACAAAACTATTGACAACAAGACAAAGACTTAAACAATATCATAGTAATTAATACGGGGTAATTTCCTTTACAATCAAGTATTACACAGTGCAGTCAGCTAAATCACTGTAATTGTGCACTGTTGCAATTTGCACATTTATCTTATCATTTTGTAGCTATATCATTTTTAGAAGTGGTTAGCGTATGTGTGTGCAGGGGCTCAAAAATATCAAATAGTAAAATGTACAAATAGCCAACATTTAAAGTATAAGATAAATATAAAGGATTTATAAATGTTTGTGTTTCTAAAGCTTTGTATATGTAAATGCTTTTATTTAGATGCTGTCAATATTTCAGCGTATCTGAACCTTTACAAAGATCAATAAATACTTCATCAGAAAAGAAACAAATCTCAACTAAAGGGAAAAGATCTAAGACGGGTTGCATATCTGTTTTTTTGCAAACCGTCATTCAATAAGATTCAGTCTTTCTATGTTATTTTGTACAACAGCTGGATAAAAAGGTTACACAGAATGAGAAAGTCAACTGGATTTCCATACCACTGAAAGAAGAGGACAATGAAGTGCATTCTGTGTGCAGTGTTTCAGGCTGGGGAAGACTGAATACTACTGGCTCACTTAGCAATCGTCTCATGGAGACATATGTGAAGATCATAAATAACACAAATTGTGAAAATAAATGGGGAGAAGTTGACTATTCAGCTTCACAGATGTTGTGTACATATGGCGATGGAGGAAGTTGCACCGTAAGTACAAGATCATCATCTGTCATTTGATCCAAACACTGACTGATATGAAGCCCAAAATTGTGCACTTTGTGTTTGTATTGTTAACAGGGGGATTCAGGAGGTCCTTTGGTTTGTGGAGACACTGCAGTTGGTGTCACATCCTTTGGAGACCCAGATCTCTGTAATTCACCTAAACTACCTGAAGTTTATATGAAGGTTTCAGCATATCTTCCATGGATACATAAGTTTATTGGAAATGTTTATTGACATTTACTTGGTTTTGTCTTGAATGTCTCCAAATTGTTTCAATAAATGCATAATGTGTCAATCCTCCATGAGTCAAGTTTTTTTTTTTTATCTGGCATTTGGTCACTGTAAATATACAGTAAAGGTCTAAATTTTTTTTTTTTAAATTTTTTTTTAAAGAGATAGTGTATTTCCTGTAGGCAAAATGCTCTGCCCACAATGTTTTACCACACGGATTCAGGAGATTTTGCTAAATATTTCCTGCCCAAAACATGTACCTAGAAATGTCAGCAAAATTTGAAATCTGAAAGGTGAATAATAGATTATTGAATTTTCATTAATGAAAACATGTGAAATGTTTTGAATTGAAATATTCACAGCTTAAATATACAACCATGTTGAATTTCAGCCCATAAAAATGCAAGCCCTAAAAATACAATGCATTAAAATGCAAGCAGCGTTAATGCAATGCATATTTTTGCCAAGTAGTGCAATTCAACAAGCTTTTTTGTTTCAAAAACATTTGTCATTATTTTACTTCCATACACACCACTATGGCTCGGGTCGAGCAGAAAGTTCTAAAATTCACTTTATTTTGGTTTTTGAAGTACGCTCCCTTGGTAGGCCCCTGAATCTGGAGCCTCCATTGAGGCAGGGTGGTGTATGTTGTACTCCTTTTGCTTAAGGCGAGACACTACAGGAGAATAGGGTAATTTTTTTAACTAGCAGATATCACCGTAATACGGAGCCCGGGAAGTCACCTGTAGGGAAAAAAAAAACAATCCGAGGCGACGGTTTTGCAATCCGTCCCCTCAGTTTATAAACTGTACTCACGAATTCTTAAACTGTTCCCTCGGTTTAACAATTCGTGCCCACGGATTAATAAACCGTACCCACGAGTTCCTAATCCGTGCTCTCAGATGTGTAAACCGTGCCCTCAGTTTTTGCAATCTGTACCCACAAATTCATAAACCGTGCCCACGCTTTCGCAATCCGTACTCACGGGTTTGTAATCCGTACTCACGGGTTTGTAATCCGTACTCACGGGTTTGTGGCTCGTCCCCCAGAGTGTGCCGCGTGATTCAACCAGGCCTCCTGTTTAGATGCGGGATGCATTGCATTGTTTTTAAAACCCTTTTTTAAATGGATAATTTCTTGCATTTTCTAAAGAAAACTGCATTTATAAATGAGTTTAGCCTATAGGCAACTTTTATCTTTAAAGTCAATTTTTTAGAGGAAAAAGCTCAGTATAATAAGGGAAGAAAATAAATAAAATAATAATAACACATAAAAGATTTGGTTATAAGTTATAAATTATTTTATGTTAGGCTAAACATATTACTGTCTTCGGTGAACTCATTCATAGTAATAAACGCAAATAATAATTAGCTATCAAATCCATTTAGGCTATAGGCCTATTTAGAAGACTCTTTTATCCACAAAAAAAAAAGAAAAAAAAAAGAACAAAGCAATTCGTCAAATGTCAGTCTTAGACATGGGCTAAGATTATAACAAACAAACACAGGTTTTTAACGCATATCCAAGTGTTTGTGTGGAGCGCGCACTGCATGTCACTGAGCCGCGTCTGCAAACGCTTGCATGTTCCTATCAACAGTGGAACAACTTAAAATAATCTAGCATTTCTGGTCATACAGAAAAAATACATTATACATAATACATTATTTGCAACTACTTTAATTTGTGTAAACTCACAATAACAAGAAAACGTTGTGTATTTGTAAAATAAAATAAAACAATCAGGCGCGCTTTCATGATCTCCGGAGCGCGTCTCATAAATGAACTGAAACAAAAGCCTATATAAAGCTTGAAATGTCCACTTTTAAACGAACAAATTAGAATCGAAAGCTGCATTTCTCTAAAGGTGCATCCTTTACAGCGGAGATGGAGATATGTTTAGCCCGTCACTAGAAAACTGTTCATTTAAACAATACAAATCCATCGTTATTTTTCAGAAACATTTATTATGATTAGCCTATAAATCACCTATAAATCATCTCTCTTTATGGTTCCAGAGACATGTTCTTCTCATTTAGCACTGCGGGCAAAATATAGTTTTTAGAAAGTAAAATCAATTTTTTTTTCCATATTAATTTGCGAAAATTTTAAATGTTTAATAAAGGCAAAAAGTCAATGGTATTTATTTTTTGTGCACAAACACTTGGATATGCGTCAAAATCTTGTGTTTATTTATGATAATCTCAGCCCTGTATTATTGTCTAACCTGTTTTATGACTGACATTTGACGAATTGCTTTGTTTCTTTTTTTGATAAAAGCGTCTTATATCTAAATATGTAGCCTAAATGTAATAATAATAGCCTAATTATTATTATTAGGCCTATTATTTGCGTTTATAACTAAATGAGTTCACTTAAGACAGGAATATGTTAATCATAAAACAATTTATGAATGTTTTATTTTTATAGGCCTATAACTTTGTGTTTGTGTTATATATATATATATATATATATATATATATATATATTGTATGTGAAGTCCTTTTAAAAACAATGCATCCCGCATCTAAACAGGAGGCCTGGTTGAATCACGCGGCACACTCTGGGGGACGAGCCACAAACCCGTGAGTACGGATTACAAACCCGTGAGTACGGATTGCGAAAGCGTGGGCACGGTTTATGAATTTGTGGGTACAGATTGCAAAAACTGAGGGCACGGTTTACAAATCTGAGAGCACGGATTAGGAACTCGTGGGTACGGTTTATTAATCCGTTGGCACGAATTGTTAAACCGAGGGAACAGTTTAAGAATTCGTGAGAACAGTTTATAAACTGAGGGGACGGATTGCAAAACCGTCGCCTCAGATTGTTTTTTTTTTCCCCACAGGTGACTTCCCGGGCTCCGTACTATTAAACTTTCTCAGTTGATCACCTACAAGATGAGAAATAAAATTATTACAAGTTTAAATATGCAAATTAGGCATCATCTAATTAAATATGCACTAATGTGCAAATCTGAGTATTGGATAAAGCCAGGTTCAAAATTCTTTTTTCATTGTGTTCACATATTAGATGGGAAAAAATTATAAAGGGATTTATGGATATCTACTTTTGTTATCCTGTAAATCAAAATATACTGTCAATAGCCTTAAAATCGCCATGTTTTATAAATCAGGCTAGGAATAATATATTTACAAATCCCTCTGTAAATGTCTTCATTCAATCACTATTCAGGGGAACATACTAACCTGAAATGCCACTAGGAAGGCCTGACCAGGCGTCACTTACATGGGACACTTCAGTCTGGCCAACTTCCTGTTGGCATTTCGGCTGAGTATGTTCCCCTGAGTAGTAATTGGCTTTTACAAGACAGAGTAGGTTACTTTTGATATAAAACAAATGATCAGCTCTCAGATTCTGTCAATTTTATTAAGAAATTCAAACAATAAATACCATTTTGGCAAGAGAAGCAAGAGGACTGATGCATGAACAGCCTCCACATCATCACAACGAACACGGAAGTCCAACTGAAGGAGCTGAGACAGCCAGCAGCCCCAGCACCGGCAGCACCTTCATGCTCCCGTCAGATCCGGCACTGTGGGGACCCCTGACAGAGACGCTGAGTGAGGAAACGATCCACAAAGGGCCCGCTGCCTTCCATAACCAGGCTACCAGGTACCCAGTATCATTGAGGGAGTCTGGGTGTTGAACCAGCTCCTTCACAAATGACCTACTGAATTGCCGTCTTCAAAACAACGAAAGTGTACCGAGGCAATGGCTGCTCCATTCACCATGTACTGGCTCTGTTTATTGCCATGCCTGCAAACTCCTGTCACCCCCAAAGCCGGCAACATCCCCTCATCAGGGGATTTAGCGATTGGAAACACTCTGAAAGGATCGGGGATCATGAAACAAGTTTAGAACATAGACAGAATATGTTGTCTTTAATGCAGAGATCCAGTTTGCAGAGTGGAAGCTGCACTTGTCCAACAATGTGAGGCAGAACAACGGTACTGGGCACAGGGTACTCAGGCATGTGGTTACTGTCATCAAGTTTTTGGGAGCTAGGGGCGCAGCTTTCAGAGGGGACAACAAACTCTTGGGCTCAGTGCATAATGAGAATTATCTGGGGATATTGGAGATTATTGCACATTTCAACCCATTTTTAAAGGACCACCTTGTGAACCATGGCAACAAGGGGAAAGGTAAGCCCTCATACCTCTCCTCCACTGTATATGTTGATGACTTTATTGTATTTAGGGGTGACAAAACAAAGCAAGTCATTGCAGATGAAATGAAGCAGGCGAAATATTTCTCTGTTATCGTCGATTCTACCCCAGATCTTGCGCATGTGGATCAGCTGACATTTGTATTCTGATTCGTTAATGGAAGTGGAAAAGCGGTTGAAAGGTTCATAGATTTAAGCCTATCAACAGCCACACAGGCCTTAGTTTAGCTGAATCTGTGATTAGCATGTTGCGAAACCTTGGACTGGACTTGGCGAACTGTCGTGGGCAAAGTTATGATAATGCTAGCAATGCTAACTAATGCTAGCTACATGTCTGGCAAGTACAACGGACTCCAAGCTCAGTTAAAAAAAGAAAACCCACTGATCCACGTATACACCATGTGCCACCAACTCCTTAATAGGCCTGGGGGTTAGGGACTTAGATCCTCTGATTTCCAGCCATTCAGGGAAGAGTTATTTACCCCTACCAAGTGGACGTAGGTCCCGTCCGCTACACACAGTTTAAGATATTTTAGATTTAGTCCGAGAGCTTTCTGTCCCTCCATTGAAAATGTATGTATGGTATACTGTCCTTGTCCAGAAAGGAAATAAAGACATCATCAAAGTAGTCCATGTGACATCAGTGGGTTAGCATCGAAAATACATTTTGGTCCAAAAATAACAAAAACTACGACTTTATTCAGCATTGTATTCTCTTCCGTTTCTGTTGTCAAGCCGCATTCAGTGATGCTGATGACGTAAGACGCTGCTGACGAGCTGGCACATTTAACATCTTTTGATGAAGTATGCCTAATGA